TAAAAAATGAATAAGATGGATTTAATTGTATAAGTATTGGTCCTTTATCAATAAGTGTACATTTAGGTTTTTATAGCAATGCATTTGAAATTAACAACAATTTATTCAAGTTTTAACAAGTTAAAAAAACTGATAAGATATGTTTAATTATATGTGTTAGTCTTTCTTTAACAAGTATCCGTTCGTATTTTAACAACAACCTGTTAATGATCAATAACAATACATTCAAATGTTTAACAAGTAAAATGTATGAAGTTTTAAAATTCTTAATTTATAATTGTTCATGTCAGATTAACAGTAACATTAGTAAAATAACAAGTGCAATTCATGAATTAATAACATACCGTTACGTTATAAATATATATATATATATATATATAATGAGCATAATTGTATGTGTTAGTCTTTAATTAATAGGTATCTATTTGGGTTTTAACCATAACTCATTATAAATTAACAATAGTCCATTATAAGCCAGAAAAGCACAGTCCATTAGAGCTATGTTCCTAATCACCAATCACCAGTATATATTTAGATTTTGACAATACTTCATTTTAAATTAACAATAGTTCATTTGAATTTTAAAAAACTAGACAAACAGATAAGATGGGTTGAATTGTATGTGTTAATTATTCATCAATAAATATACATTTAAATTTTTATAATAATTTATTTGAAATCAATAACAATCTATTCTGATTTTAATATGATAGAAAAACTAATAGGATAAGCTTAATTGCATGTGTTGGATCCTTCACTAACAAGTACCCATTTAGGTCTAGACAGTAATCTTTTTGTTATTAACAACAATACATTTAGACTTCTAACAAGTAAGATGTATGAAGTTTTAAAACCCTCAAATTATAATTGTCTATATCAAATTAACAAATAACATTTATAAAATAATAAGTTTTGTTTGAAAATTAACAATATACTGTTATGTTATAACATGAAAGTAGTTAAAAAGAAACTTGATTTACTACTTATATTTTTTTTGTTATATATAATTAAAAGAGTGGCCATCAAGCTTTTTTGGTAGTTAAAGATTATGGGATCAAACCCTCCCTCAATCTCTTAAATCAATTATTTCTTAAACAAAAATGTTGCAGTGTGGAGTTGCTACCATGACCTCACAAATTAATATTAGTTAAGAATCAAAAGGTTGTATTGCAATTTTAAAATCAATTGATACTTGTTTGATATTAATTTACTAGTGAGGTCCTTGGTTGCTATCCTCAAAAAAAAAAAAAAGACAATTAAGTGACATGAATGAGGACAATGCATCCATAATACCCGTAATTGTGATACAGATGATAAAACCAAATGGACACCAAGAACATACTGGCAATAAAAACAAGTGAAGGCGGGGTGTATCTTATCTTAATTCAAGAATGATACTTTTAATCCTTGCTTGGTTTGTTGGAAATGAGTTTTAGGGCGTGTTTGGTTTGAGTGAAAGGAATTTTAATGATCTCGTTTGTTTTAGGAATGAAGAGGATGGAAGATAATAATTATTTTGCTATTATACCCTTGTAAGTTATTTTTTTATAAATTTGTTCCTTATATAAAGTAAAATTTAATTATGAAACTATTTTTTCCTAAAACTCCGTCAAACTTCCTTAAATGTAATTATAAGCTACACATCTAATCTAACATTTATAAAATAAAATTCATTCAATTAAAAAGCTTCTCCTGTTCGAACAAAAAAACTTCCCCATGTGCTCATTTTATGCCGAATATTAAAGTGAAGGCATCATCATCAGGTTGGAGTGTCAAGCTTTGCCAGGTGGCCGGGAACTCCAAATCCAACTTGTAGAGTTGGGTCAATCAATTGAAGGCACTTGCTCACGAGGCTATCAAGAAATGCGACGAGTTTAGGCGGCAGGGAGATGATGCTTTACTGGAAAATGATGATGTTCTAAGTTCGAAGGTCACGGCAAGATGATGGAGTAGTGCCAACAACGAGATGAATCTTCGTGAGCTGGTGAGAAATTGAGATACATGAAAAAGCATGACGAAAGAAATTTATGAAATATTATTAAGCACTAGAAAGTAAATCAGTCAAAAATTTTGACTCCTCTTCCAAAATACCTAATTTGGAGGGGGCAACATGAGGCTTCCTTTCCTTCTAAAATTTTTTAATCAAATGAGGGGAGGGAACTTCCATCCAAAATTTTTGAACCAAACAATCCCTTAAAAAAAGAAATGGAAAAGAATCAATAAATTTATTTGATTGATTAGTATGAAATTTTGGCCAAAATAATAGTATGAAATCTAACCTTTGAGAATTGAAATTTAGGAAAAATAAACTGAACTAAACATATGCTAGAACTAGGAATTTCATTTATTTAATCATGTTCACACACAGACTCTCGGAGCTACACTAACATTTAGCAATGAATATGTCCAGAGTGTGCAAGTAGTATCAAACCCATGACTCCCTTCAACACAATGAAGGAAAGGTCGGTGCCACTGAACTAACAGCACTGGTGATACATGAGTATCTCTGAGATAATTATACACATTGATTGACACGCTCTTGAAGACGGACTAACATTTCAGAGTTAATGCATCTTTCAAAGAACTGGAATTGCGCGACGACTGTTTCTAAACAAAATCACTGTGATTCAAGAATTCTCCATCCATACATTATCATGACACGAAGTAAAATTTAAATAAATGGAATACTTTTGTGTTTATGTTTTAAAGCATAATTAAAATTATTAGGCACTAATTATAAAAATATAACAAATACAATAAAGCAATATAAATTAAGAATGGAATGAAAACCGCATGGTCCCTCGATTCGTCAATTAATACCGTGGGCAAAAATATTGGTTTGCCCCCATGGTAGAGCAGCGACTTATTGAAACTTTTTGCTGGGCAAGTTCTAAATGGTCAATTCGATGGACGTGAACCATTGCACTGACGGAAAAATTTTAATGCCTGTGGATATGCTCAAGATCAACTTGAGAAAGTATGTTCATGGGGAAAAAACACTAAAAAGGGCAGTCCTACAAAACACGGACAATATAGAAGTAATTGGGCCACAAGATAAAAAAACAAAAAATTATATTAAGGTCTCATATAAAAAAAATTAATTATTATAAAATTTATTAATAATTAAATTAAGACTATTGACAACTGTTGTCAATAATTTTAGTTTAATTATTAATAAATTTAATAATAATTAATTTTTTTATGTAGGATCTCAATATAATTTTTCTTATAAAAAATTAGTTGAGCACAAGTTTTCGTACATTGTTTGTCATTAAAAAATTAAATGAATTAAGCCATAAAAATTTATGAAAATTAGACTATACTTGTTAATAAAATTATATATAAATATTCGCAAGATAAATTTATTTGCATATATAGTTGCACGGGCGACATTAGTTACGCGCATAGACTCGTTTGAAAATTCAAATGGTCCGAGTAACATCAACACAAGAAAATAGGACATTCCCGGATAAAATTCGTCGCCAATCTATGTGCTGTGGGTGTTCCAATGGTGGCTTGCGTGGCCCAATTAAAAATAGGGAAGAGAGAAGGTGCACAATGCCCTGTGCCCCAGTCGGTGGCCTTAGTTTTGCTTGTAAAATGGAATCTTTCCGGGGGAGAGCGCGTTCACACCGGTATTCATATTTTGTTCGGAACTTTCCAAGCCCGTCCATAAGGCGAATTACTTTCCAATCCCCATGACATGTTACAATCGCCTTGTTCCCTTTTATGCAGAAAAAAATAATAATCTTCATTGTAAAATACTAGTAATGTACAGTGCTCGAATTCGGTGATGCAAATACCTTGAATCACGAACCTCAGCAACAATGACGGATCTAGAAACATTTGTTTGGAGGGGCGGGGGAATGTAAATTACATAATAGTGGGAGCAGGAATTAATTTTAGCATTTTTTACAAGTAAAAACTAAATAATTTCATCAAAAATTTTGTGGCGTGGAAGCACCCCTGCTTGCCCCCGAAATCTGTCGCTGCTCAGCAAAATCCTCATCAACTTCTGTTCTGTGTAAACATAGCAGTCATTAAAAGGCCAATTACATTTTTCTACCAGTTGTTGAATGGACATAATTTGTCTGTTAGAGGGTGTTTTTGTCATTTAACTCCCAATAAATTATGTAGTTGGTCAACCAATCTCGCGTAAACTCATCGTCACAAAATGTAATTTCCTACAGTCCGATAATCTTGACATTTGCGTTACTCTTTTCACAGTGGTTCGCCCTTCCACACCCCTGATAGACCACGATAATCTTGACATCTGCGTTAGAGTGTGTTTGGATTGAGGAGAAACGCGCGTTTTCAACTTCAGAATTGATTTTTTGAACAAAATATTCAAACAGAAAAACGTAAAAATCGATTAAAACACAATACGTGCGTTTTTTCATAAGTTCTCCTCATCTCAAAAAGTTTGTTAAAAATATTAGGAAAAATTATAAAGAAAAGCTAAAAAAATTAAAAAAAACACATAATTTAATAAAAATAAAATTAAATTCTCTTTTTTTAATAAAATTTAAAATTTGTATATTCAAAAAATTCATATTTGATATTTAAAAATTAAATTATATAATAATTTATATAGTTAAAAATTAATTTAATTGAATTATTCAAATAATTTCAATTCTGTTAAAATTAATTTTAAAAAAATAATATCAAACAGATTACGTTGTAATATAATTAATTATAATTAAAATTTATTATTTAATTAATTATTTTTATAATTTATTATATTTAATTAAAATTCAAACGGACCTTTTATTTTTTTTTTTACAGTAGCTCGCCCTTCCACACCCCTGGAACACCAATTTGACAAATTATTTCACTCATAAAAACACACCCACACCCACACGAATTATGACCCAAAAAAAAAAAAAACCTTTTTCTCTCGCCTTTTCGTGTTACTTGTTTACTGTGTCGTAAGGGGACTTTCCATCTCACCTGTTCAGTCTTCTAGTCAATAACAATCACCGGATTGCGGACATCCAACGGCTCGTAATAATCTACTAGAACTTTCCCAGCTACCCCGCCCTTATGAACCTCGCCATTTCTCACTCCTGGCTTGTGCCCTGCTTGTGCCACTCTCGTGTTAGGGTTGCGCGTTCCATTTTCTTGTCTTATCTCTCAACTCCTCAATTTTCAGGTAGGTGCTCCTCACACTATTATATCCGCTGAAAGCTTTCAAATCTCATTTCATTCGCTGTATGTATCGTCGTATGCTTGATATTATTTCATTATCGTTCCTTAGATCTGAACTTCGATCGTTTTTTCTGGATCTAGGGGATTTGATTTATTTGACTATTTTTTTTTTTTGGCTTTGCTCTCTCCTTAGTTATAGCCATGGGTAAATCGTACCCCACCGTGAGTCCCGATTACCTCAAGGCCGTGGAAAAAGCCAAGAAGAAGCTCAGGGGTTTAATAGCTGAGAAGAACTGTGCTCCGATCATGCTCCGTTTGGCGTATGTTTTTGCTTTTGCATTTTATATTAGGAGCAAGAACTCAGATGGACGATCTTTTACATTTGAGTGATTCCGCTTAAGTGGTTTGCCGATGGGTTGTGACGCGACTTCGTTCTGCGCTCTGTAGGTGGCACTCGGCTGGAACCTATGACGTGAAAACCAAGACCGGTGGCCCCTTTGGGACCATTAAGCACCCAAACGAACTCGCTCACGGGGCTAACAACGGGCTTGATATTGCTGTTCGGTTGTTGGAGCCGATCAAGGAGCAGTTCCCCATCTTGACCTACGCTGATTTCTACCAGGTAAGAAACCATTACCGATATTTGTTATATATAATAATTTTCGTTCCATATTTAACAGTCGTTTATATTTTATGGCAAATCAGCTGGCTGGTGTCGTAGCTGTTGAGGTCACCGGCGGGCCCGAAATTCCTTTCCACCCCGGAAGAGAGGTATGGCATATTACTTTGTTTACTTGTATATAAAGTTATTATTACAAACTATGTGTGCCATTCTTCATTCCAATTATCTTCTGGTATTCATTCTAATATTCTGTGTTGTTTGATTCGCATATACTTTGTTTTATCCATCTTTGTTTGTTCTTGCGAGGCAATGAAGGGTGGTGTTCGGATAGTTTTCCTGGGACGCTGTTCGCGCAAAGAAAATAATATCGATTTTTTATTTAATTACGTTTTTCATTCTTGTGAGTGATTTTACCTGTTCCTTTGAGCTGTTCCTGTGAGTAGTAAATTGGATTTAATTCTGAACTAACCTGGTCGTTGAGAATGAGATGTTTTCTCATCGTAGGACACTTCTACAGACTATAGGAATTGGTGTATAATTCCATCCATTTTTTGGGTGTATTACCTTATGAAATCATAATTCTACTGAAGATAAATATTTAACTTCCACAATCCTTGCATTGCAATTCTGTTTGATTTGCTCGCTTGCCTTCACGTTAGCACAGTTTTAGTTCTGTGTATGTTCTTCAGTTTGGAGGCTTACAGCACGTTCTTTTTTATAGGACAAGCCAGAGCCACCTCCGGAAGGCCGCTTGCCTGATGCAACAAAGGGTATGTACTCGTGACTGGAAAATTGTTGAGAGTTGCTTCTGTCAGTAAATTACCGGGGCTTACCTCTTGATGACTGTAGGTTCTGATCATCTGAGGGATGTGTTTGGCCATATGGGACTTAGCGATCAAGATATAGTTGCTCTTTCCGGTGGTCACACCCTTGTATGTTTGCATTTTTCATAAACGCTATCAATAATTGTTGATCTATATCCTTTTGTGCATCTTTCCTTTCTTTCTGATCTTATTTTGGCCATGCGTTATTTGTTTTGACAGGGAAGGTGTCACAAGGAACGATCTGGATTCGAGGGTGCCTGGACTCCCAACCCTCTGATATTTGACAACTCGTACTTCAAGTTAGTATGTGTATGCGTGTTGCGTTGTCCCTGGCTTTTTATCCACTGTCAATATTCAATCGCTAATGCCTTCTATTGCAGGGAACTGTTGTCTGGTGAGAAAGAAGGCCTGCTACAGCTTCCATCTGACAAAGCACTCCTGACTGACCCGGTATTCCGCCCACTCGTCGAGAAATATGCTGCGGTGCGTATATTATCCGCATTTTCTTTTACATGGCACTTGCTTGTAACATAAAGGTTACTAATTCTCGCGGATTTATTACTGTATTTCAGGATGAAGATGCCTTTTTTGCTGATTATGCTGACGCACATCTAAAACTTTCTGAACTTGGGTTAGTCACATCTCGATTTTTCACATCTCTGGTTAGATTAGGGTTTTTGGCACGTCGGGTTTCCTAAATTTAGGTGCGCTTATATTTTAGGATTTGTACTGAGTTTCATTGACTTGAATGTTGAGAATTGTAGTACAAGTGGGTGAATAGACATGCTCACATGATGAGTAAAAGAAAATTTAGCAAGGCAGTTCCATACTGAAGTTGTAGGAAGATAGTCCAATTTGAGTTGTTGGTGGCATATTGAATACTTGATAAGTGAGAAGTATGATGTTTAATTTGTGCGTAGTTGTTTGATTTTTTCTTGCCATTGAAGTTTCAAACTAAATGTAAAAGCATTATTTTTCAGGTTTGCCGAGGCCTAAGCGACTGGATTAGAGAGAGCGCTGCCCGCAGTGGTGGTGGCACGTGTGCTGTCTACATCTCTTCCTTATTATTTCAGTCTTTTGGTTTTCAAGAAAAAAATGCGATGCTCCATCTGAGATGTGTATTTTGACCTGAACAATGGTAGCATGCTAGTTTTCTGTGGTGTTCATTCTGTTTTGTGACAGCTGTGCGAGTAATTTTCATCGCATTTGAAGTGGAGTGGCATTGAAATAATAGTATAATTATGATACTTTCAAATATCTATTTTTTTTAATTTTTTTATATAACTGCTTTTTATTTTATCTTTTGAAGTTCTTTCTCGGCATCTTTGGTTATGGAGAATTTTCTCTACATCAATAATAGTTTTATTTTTTAAGATATAAATATAAATATAAATTTTTTTTTTGTAATCTTCAAGATAATTATTTCAATTTTCCTTTTGAGTAAAAGATAAAAAGTATTATTCACAAAATTTTATGTTTGTCAAATTAATATATGATTTTAAAGAAAAAAAAAACTTTATAATTTGACGGAAGAAGTATTATGTAACCATGCTAGCAGAATATTTTTGTTTCCGCCTACAAATAAAGTTTAAGTATATTGAATTTAAGATTTTATTTTGTTTTTTAATTTTATAAAATATTTTTTTAATCTTAAAATTTTAACACTATTAGTTTTATTTGATCTAATTTTTGTATCAAACTTTTACAGATTAATAAAAATATCTTAAAATACTGATGCATTAAAAATAATTTTTTAAAATAAATGATTTTCATATATAAAAAAATTATTTTTAATTAAATTTTTAAATATTGATATAAAAATAATTATTTAAAATTGACAATATTAAGGTTAAAGAATTTAAAAATATTTTAATTTAATTTTAATCTATAATTATTTGCCAAAGTGCTTCGTCATATAATTAAACCAATAAACAGCACCCTTATCATGTTCATTATTTCTTTTTATGTCTTTGACCACCTACCATCTTTTGTGGAGATGGAGAAATATGAAAGAAGTTAAGGTTTTTGGCTGCTTTTATTTTTTCTGCTTTGAGGCTTGTACTTTTGACCCTGTTTAATTGACTTTTTTTTTAAAAAAAAATTAAGACAAAATAAAGGTATAATAAAAAGTTATAAAGCTAAACCATTATAATGCACTAAGGAGATAAACTAAATATAAAGAAATGTTGCTTATGAATGCTATTGATTTGCATGACAGTATTGGATAGAGCATGCTGTGCTTAAAAAAAAAAAACGATTCACCAAAGAGCAAACCTTGAACAGATTAAGGGGACGTATATGAACCTTGAGACTGTTTCCTAATGTGTTGAATTATTCTTCAATAATTTAAACATTGATAACTTCAAAAATAAATTGTTTATTCATAAGTATTTTTGAGGTATAGTTACTTTTTAAGTAAAGTTAAAATAAAAATACTAAGATTAAAATGTTCTGAATTTTTTTTTTAATGGACACTTGATACCGGACACTTTTTTTTTTTTTTAGAAAAATGTTATCTCATGACTTCAAAAAATGTGTAATGTTATCTCACTGATTCCTCCGTTTGCAGTTAGCTTGCGAATGTGGCAAAGAAAAGTAAAGCTTGCCAACATGATCTTGTCCCTGATAGTTTCAAGAAGCTTCAGGGATGTCTTGAGCCATTTATCAGCCCAATCGATTCTTCAATCCGTGTTCAAAGTCCTCAACTGATTTTGTGATTCCGGACCCTCTATGTACGTAGGAAGGAAAAAATTATCTAGGGAAATCGATCTCTTCGTACGAAGTTTTTGTCTTTCGGATTTTCTGCTTTGGGGTCGTTTCCTTGTTTCTCTGATTTTATTGCAGTTGCTGAAAAGCGAGGCAAACATGGTCGATGCTGAAGATTTTATGGCCAGAGTAATCTCTGTTAGCTTGTTCAAGTGGAGTAGACTTTGAGTAAACATGAAAAGTCCCACGTTTAATAAAATTAGATTTAATAATTAATATAAAATAAAAAAGAAAGACTTATAAATTTAAATATTGAGATTTTAAGTTAAAATGTGAAATCCATCCACTACTCTTACCTGCTTCTCTCATCTCTTTTCATTCCCAAGTAGTGGCTCTTCATTCTAACAAATGATATCAGAGTCACATTTTATTCAAGACTTATATAAGACTGTCGTTGCTCTCACATTTAAAGCCCAAATCCTTCAACAAGGGTTTATGTGCACCACACCATTTAAGGGGAAGATTGTTAAGTTATCTAAGTGTGAGTGAATATAAGATGTATAAAAAGTCCCACATCGAATAAAGTTGAGTTTAATAATTAATATATAATAAAGAGAAAAGATTTATAAATTTAAATTTTAAAATTTTGAGTTAAGATGTGATGTCTTTCCTTTTATCATATATTAGTTATAAAATTTAACTTTATCCACCTAACAATCTCTCACGATTGCCAACAGTCTTGCTAATTGGTAACAACCTAACCAATTTTTTATTTCCTTTGGCTTTGATGCGCGTGTTTTTGTGACTCTTAAGCTTCATTTGAACTTAATTCGTTCCCGTTTAGCTAATTGCCACAAGGTGATATACGTTTGTTTATGATAAATTGCAAATTGCCAAAAAGTTAGTAAGATGGATCAACTCATGTGGTGTTTGAATATGTGCGTCTGTTCATCTGTTGTTGATTACAATATGCCTTCGTTGTGAGATTGTTGCTTTATGTAAAAAAGTTGGATGCTTCAATCGGTTGAAGCTTCACTTTAGGCCTCTTAAGTTAGGACGGACCGTTGCCTGATGGCTTTGTTCACTTAAATCACTTACATTTTTGCATTGATATTTCACATTAACAATGATCTTAATTTCAGTTTTTAAAATTTTTCAAATTTAACCTGCAACATGACATTTCAACAATGGTATAGCAGCGGATGATGCAAGGTCGTGCTGTCACGAAGAAGAAGTATTATTAATGGAGAAGAGGGTGAATTGGAAGTAGAACAGAGTACGAGAAAGATGGTGGTTTGTAAAAGCTCTCATTCCGGGAAGGCGTGCTTTCTGTTTCTTCCTTGCAGGCATCTATGTTCATGCATGGTTTCCTTATTTTGTTTCTGAAAACAATTTTGTAGAGGTTTTGGTTTTGCATTTTGTGAATGACTTTGTTGTGTGATCGAAGCCGAGAAAGTTAAGGAAAAGGCCATAAGAAAAGAGTTGCGGGTTTCGGATCTCTTGGTGGAAACCGTTAATGGTTGAGTACAGGAGTGCTGTGCCATGGGGAAGAAGTGCCGATTGGGGAAGAATGGTTCATTGGGGAAGACAAGGACACGTGTAATGTTGGCTAAAAAAGCAAAAATTTAACCGTTGAATGTTAGTTTGGATTAACAGTAAAGTAATATTTTATATTTTTTTAAATTTTGACATGATATCAAGTGCCTTTTGTAAAAAAAAAAAATTAAGCATTTTTATCCTCTAACTCTTAAAATTATTCAACTAATAATTAATGTCTGCAAAATTTATTCCTTTTGAATTCAAGAAAATATTACTTTGATAAGAAAACTAATGCTACTGATCACACCAAATGGGAAGTTTTAGGAGACAAACTTTTTTAATAACGGTAAAATCATTTTTCAATGGTGGCGGATCTATGTTGATGTTTTTTTTTTTTTTTGGGGCGGGGGGGCGGGGGCGGGGGGGCACCCCTTCACATTATATATATATTATGATAAATTTATAATCTTCACCTTATATTTTTAGTATTTTAAACTCGCTAGACCTAATAAAAAATATTTAAAGGTTCAAATATAAACTTTATATCAACCTTTTCAACATATTTTTGGCAACAAAAATCTCAATATATTTTACCCAAATAAAAATATGTATAATTTTCCTTATGCTATTATATTTTTTGCATAATGTAATTAATTTTAAAAATTACAATATTATTTTTTAATTATTAATTTTTAAATTACATTGTCATGCACTTGGCTTCGCCACTGCTCACTACTGGTTAAGGATTACTAAGTGAATGTATAATGTCACGTAAATAATCTATTGGAGTGTCATTATTTTTTGGGTGACTGATGATCTTAAATTTTAAGGGTTAGACAGTACTATCTGGGTGTATGCATTCCTTTGTAGTAGTTCTTTTGCTTTGCACTGTATTTTTTTTCCATTCGTTTTTTTTTTGTTAAGAAAAAATAAATTATTTGTCATGAGTATTTTATTCATATTATATGTTTTGTTTTGGCATTTAAATTACTTTTAAACTAAGTATTCAATGCTCATTTTAGTTTTAGTGAGTTTGATAACTAACACGCACACGAATAAGAATGTATACGTAACTTACACGATTTGGCTTCCCTCCTCCCTCCTCCCACCTTCAAATTAAATTTAGATCATTTAAATTTAATCTGGAAGGTGTAGATTAAATATTTTAGTTTTATGTTTACTCAATAAATAATTATAAATTTTTTTATTAAATCTAATCAATAATATAGATAGTTTAGATTTAATATGAGTGGTTCAAATTTAATATTAAATTTACACTGTTCAGAGTATATTTAGGTAGTTAATTTTAAAAATTAAATTTTTTATATCTAATTATCAATTCAAACGGTCTAGATTTAATATAGAAGGTTCAAATTTAATATTAAATTTTTATTAATTTTAATGTTAAATTTAAACTATCTATATAAAATTTAGATTGTTCAAGTTAGCAATGAAACATATTTATTTAAATTTATTTATAATTTTTTTAATAAATATAAAAAATAAATATATTTAATTTAAATCATTTAAATTTAGATTAAATCTAGATGATTTAGATTTAATAAGAGGTGGGAGGAGGGTGATAGGAGGAAAGCCTAGTGCTAACTTATGAACTAATTAGATCAGAGCCCAGCCACACCAGCTCTCCCTTCGCTGCTTCTGATGCCCACCGCTTGGAGGCTTTTTTGCAAGTATTTCCAGATCTGCATGATATTAACTTGTTCAGCCCATGAAGTGCAACCAGATCAACATATCTACAAGCTTATATTTCCTTTCACAGATTGCTTCATTATATATTTTTTTAAATAAAGCAAATGTTTTATTAAGAAATTCCTTTCACAAATTGCTTGATTATAGTCTCGCTTGTTAGGAGGAGGCAAGGAAATGGGTCCACAGACATGGTCAAGTGATGTTATATAAGCCTTACTTTTGGGTGCCTTGAACAAAAATAATCAATTGTTGTACCGGACCTACCTATGGCCCATATATCTAGTGCGAGCCATAACCAAAATGGACAACATGTTGAAACTCGCAATGTTTTTTCAAGGTATAGGATATGTCATGGGCTGGTCCATGATGGCTTTACTTTATCCTGCATAAAAATTTCGCGGGCCTTTATTAATTCATTGTGCAACTCATTTCAAGATTGGTCAATCAGTGTTGTCAATGGTGCTTGATACTCGCGCTAACGACAACAGACAATGACGCCGGAACATTGTACAAAAGGGGGCGATCAGTGAATACAGATTAAATAGCATTCTTTTCGTTTTAAAAAGTTTAGGGAGCATTGAGGTTGTCGGCCACGAACATTTGAAAAATCTTTTCAATAATACCAAAGGGGAGACACGCTCATACGCACATGGAGTAATGAGAGAAGACTATAGGACTCGTCAGTCGTCACAAGCACTATAAATAAGTGATTATAATGGTGATAAATGGTGGCCGTGAGCAGGTAGCACTGAAAATGTAATGGGCCGCGATTGAAGTGTAAGAAGTGTCGGTGCTTGTTACGCCATAAATATAAGTGTTGTGGCCGGTGGAACACAGGAGACTTACATATAGCTTTTAATTGAGTGAATCTAGCTCTGTGCGGAGGATGTCGAGGAGTGGAAGCAAACGAGGGGGATGGATGACATTCCCATTCATAACAAGTTTCTCTCTGAGATCGTAAGTGAAATATATATTTGTAGAAACATAAGGTTGATGGATTCAATGAATGCAGGGGTAGTTGGGGGGGGGGGTTGGCGATGGCAAGCACAGGGATGATGGAGAACGTGATAGTATATGTGATGAGGGAGTACAATGTGAAGAGCATCACGGCGGTTCAATTACAGTGAATGGCTGCACCAGCCTCTTCCCTCTCTTTGTTGCTTTCATCGCTGAATCTTTCTTTCCCTCTTCCTCGTTGCCTTCTTTTCTGCTTCTTTCTCCTTTCTGGTAACGCCTTATTCTCTTCTATTTATTCGTGTGCCTGCCTTACAAATTGATAATTGAACTCTACAATGAAATATATATAATTTGCAGGGCACAATTCTGCTAACCCTGAGCGCAGCACTGAAATCCCTGAGGCCTCAACCATGTGAAGATGGTTCCAACTCATGCCAGCCTCCTTCGAGACTCCAGTACGCCGTTCTGCACGTAGGCTTAGCCCTAACGGCGACAGGGTTTGGAGGAACACGTTTCATATTAGCAACGCTGGGTGCGAACCAGTACGATGAGCCAGGGCAGCAAGGAGTGTTCTTCAACTGGTTCTTCTTCACCATAAACGTAGCGTCTGTCGTCAGCATGACTGCCATCTTCTACTTGCAGACTGACGTCAGCTGGACGCTAGGGTTTGGGCTCTGTGCTGAGGCTAACTTGATTGCCGTGGCCATTTTGTTGTTGGGGTGTCGGTTTTTTCGCCATGATAAGCCACAGGGAAGCCCTTTTGTGGAGCTAGCTCGTGTTCCTATCGCTGCACTTCGTAAATGGAACATTTCGCAGCTTTCAACCCCCATCACGGATTACTATGGTGGTCGTGATGAAACCGCGCCAGCAACAAGATTCAGGTACAACCTTGGCTTATTGTTCTTAAATTGGTTCATATCGTTATATCACTTCATCTTAAGCTGGTTTTTATAAATTAGAAATTATAATTCAGCATCTTTTTTTAAAAAAAAGTTAATTAATTCCCACATATAATCATTTACACATCATTTTAATATTTCAATTATACATAATTTTAAGTTTAATCAACCAAAACTATCTCATAAATATGAATGGGTTACTCTTTAGAAGAAAATATTATAGGATTAAATGATAATTTAGACTTTAAACCATAGGTCCAAAAACAATTTAAATTCTAAATTTATTTTCAATACATTTTAATTCCTAAACAATTATACTTGTGTCAACATCTGTCCCCTACCATTAATTTCAACTAGACGCTGTTAAGGTAGTGAGACCCATATACGCACCTCATGTAGCAGATTTTCCTAGCTCCTCTCCCTCCTTCTCTTTTCGCCTTTATTCGAGTTTCCCTCCCTCCCTCCTCTCTCCGTCTCTCTGCATGCCGCCATCATCGTACAAGAAGCAGCTTTACTCCAAGATCGGCACTTGGTGTTCCTCTGACTCTGATGCCCTCCAGATGGATCATGTACACCCAGCTAGCCATGCTGCCTGCAGCTCACCAAACTCAAGGCTAAGTCATCTGCAGCGCCGACAGCCTCGACCACGTTAATCCCACTAAAACTATCCTGACCAGTGTCGACATTGCAGGTCAAGTGGAGTGAAGAAGAAGAAGGGACGTTGGTTGTTAGTTTCTGAAACAAATTCTCTCTCCTCCAACGGTCAATGTGGCAGGGGCCTGATTGCTATAGGGCTTCGGATTCAAATTACTTCTTACCTATAATGAAGTGCCAGTAGTGATCAATTTCAAACCCACTTATTAGGGTGATGTGATTTAATTTTACTCTTTTTTTAACATATTTATATATTACTTGTAATATATAAATTACATATATTTGAAATGGCAGAGATAAAATTAAATAACATGCATTAACAAATAATCAACATAATAGCTTGATTGTGTTTTTTAGTCTAAGAATTATTTTTTTCCCAGTACCATCACTAGTTAACATAAAATCTATAGAAAGTTGTCCAAGTGTTTTGACAAATTAAATAAACATGACTTATATCTACTAAGAACGTTTGGTTTAATTGATTGAGAAAGTTATATCAACTTATTATGGAGTATTTAGATTTTTCAAAATACCAAACAATGGACGGATAAAAATAAATAAATAAATAAATGTGACTTTTCTCAAAGTTCATGCAATGTATAAGGCTTACATCTAGCTGTTATTAAATTTCATGTAATATAAAATCTGTAAAATTTTTAATCTCACAAACTGAACATGAGAAAATTTAGCATTAGTATATGCATGCTGATTATCGGAATGGTGTTCTTCCTAAGTCATTAACACGTGTGTGTGTGTGTAATGAAATGTATACTTACAAGTGGAATAGTACACTTATTTTGTAGACACCTGCAAAATAAGAAAATCATGTCTAATTTGACACTAAACAAACAATTGTGGTGCACTGGCCCTACCAAATGGAGAAGGTGATCAGAAGGAAAATCATTGCAAAATTAAAAACAACAAGGTGTTTGCCATGGATAAAAGGCAGGAAATATATAGTCCAAGTCAAATGATGGGGTTTGATATTCACCGATGTACATCCTTGTCGTTCTCTGACTCTCAGGCAATTTGATTAAAGACCTAATCAACAATAACATCACACCTAACTTTTTATACTCGCTACTCCACCATTTCTTGTCTCCATTTTCACTCTTAGTGCCTTGGCAGCGTTCCTTGGTCCTTGCATAAACCCCTTTTTTCTGTTCTTTCTTTCTATTTACTAAACTTTAATATCTCTTGATAATGGTTTATCTATACTTTCTACAACCAGATCATTGATGGCTAGCCAAGAAGAGTCTATTTCTATTCTTGAAAAACAAAGGAGAGAGATTGCTTTTGCTCTCATAAAGAGGACCTTTTCACATCCCAAGTTTTTGACTGCCGCGAGTAAACATGCAATTTGATTCTTAGAAGATGTAGTTTCAAAGTATTTTTCTTGTGTTGATGTAGGTTCTTTACTCGAGCGGCGTTGATAACAGAAGGAGACATTGACTTAGATGGCAGAATCACAAAACCATGGAGGTTATGCACAGTGCAACAAGTGGAAAATTTCAAAACTCTGTTTGGGATCCTTCCTCTTTGGTGGACAAGTATTCTCTTAAGCACTCTAGTAGGGGTCCTAACCAGCTTGTCCATCCTTCAGGCTCTTGCCATGGTCACATAGGGCCCTCCTTCCAATTCCCACCTGGCTCTGTTCCTGTGATCATCCTCCTATCTACATCCATCTCTCTTACTCTTCTAGACAGGCTACTCTATCCTACGTGGCAGAAGCTTACCGGCAAATCAGCAACTACTCTCCAACGAATAGTAGTAGGCCACGTGTTGAACGTGCTGGAGATGGTGGCTGCATGTCACGAGCTGAGAGTCTGGCGCAGCACACGGCGCCCGTGCGGTGTCCTGGAGGACCCCATAATCCTCAGGACAAGCCTTACCACATACGGATCACACTGGTTTCGCCCTGCCATGGGCTCATCAGGGAGGCGGCACTAACCCCCGACCAGTTGTGCACACAGTCCGAAGACTGAGGCCGAACACCCCCAATGCTAATGTCGCCCCCTTTACCCATATTATGCGAGGCTAACCAGCGGATCGTTCATTATCTTGGTCTTTACACGGTTACGGAGATATCATCCGTGACATTCTCCCACACCCAATCTAGCACGCCCTCGTGCTAGGGGAGAACGACTCCGCCCAAGGATCGTACGTACAGTACTGCCACAAACACATTAGCTTACTGCTGAGTGGCCACCCGAGTCCTGCACTCTTCGGACCCACTCGCACTCGCGAGCTAACAGGAGTGGAGTCGACAACGGCCAACCTTCCCGCCCGAGTCCCCACTTTTGGACCCACCTGCTCGGAGGCCTTTCTGGAGCGATGTCGAGGCCGACCAGTCCCAACGTGGGACCCCATGCGCACACGGCAGTAAAGTACGTCCTGCTCTGATACCACTCTGTCACGGGCTGAGAGTCTGGCGCAGCACACGGCGCCCGTGCGGCGTCCTGGAGGACCCCATAATCCTCAGGACAAGCCTTACCACATACGGATCACACTGGTTTCGCCCTGCCATGGGCTCATCAGGGAGGCGGCACTAGCCCCCGACCAGTTGTGCACACAGTCCGAAGACTGAGGCAGAACACCCCCAATGCTAATGTCGCCCCCTTTACCCATATTGTGCGAGGCTAACCAGCGGATCGTTCATTATCTTGGTCTTTACACGGTCACGGAGATATCATCCGTGACATGCAGCTGTAGCTGAATCCAAGAGGCTGGGTTTGAGAGAGAGCGTGAGCATGTCAGCGTTTTGGCTAAGTCCACAACTAGTTTTGGTAGGGGCAGGAGTGGCATTTTATTTTCCAGCACTGCCGGATTATACTACCAAGAATTTCCAGAGTCACTGAGGAGTACATCAACTGCTATGTTGTCTCTGGTTATAGCAATAGGGAACTATATGAGCACGGCCATGATTGATGTTGTTTGGAGGGCCACAGATTGGTTACTAGATGACATTAATAAGGGGAGGCTCGATAATGTGTACTGGATGTTCGTGGTGATTGAGGCTCTCAACTTTGGATATTATATGCTCTGCGCCGCTTTATACAAGAATCGCTAACTTTACTTAAACAAATCCTCGTTCAACTGGATAGCCTCCGCTTTACAAGTTTTAAGGTTATTTTAGGCTTAACTCTCTGGGTTTTCCAAGCATCAAGATTATGATACTTGTTTGCATCTTCATATGATGAGTCCATCGTAAGTTTTGAGATTATTTTAGGCTTAACTCTCTGGGTTTGCTTGTTAATTGCAGTGGTTTTCCGATCATCAAGATTATGATACTTGTTTGCATCTGCATATGATGAGTCCATCGTAAAACTATACAGAAGAGCCAGTACAACTACTTGTAGTCTCGAAATTGCACGTGAATGATCAGATGAAGGTATTGAATTTTTAGCATTTCATGCATATCTGTTAACTAAATTGTAAGGCTCATATTTTGCAGAGATTAGAATGGTCTCTTACAAATTTTATATATATATATATATATATTATAGAATACAAAATTGGTATATCTTCTTGTTTTAATAAAGGATTGATGTTGATCTACCCTTCAAATTTCTAACCAAGCGCAGATATTTTTTGGCACCATTTTATCCCAATCCTCTTCATTTCGTTATAATCTTACCTTTCCATCATCCTTTGACCATTTTGATTGTCAGTTTGACTCTGAATAGCTACTGGCAGCCTCCTCGTATATGTTGAAAATAAAAAATAAAAAATAAAAACCTTGGCCACGTATTTCCTTCCACTTTCCTCCTGCCTCCTCAGCTTCTCCCCGGTTCCTCTTCATCTTCTTTAGTCTTCTGCAAAACCTAGAAAAGGAATTAACTAAAACCCAAATCTCATACCCCTTGAGTTCGTCGACGTCCTCACATGGTGGAAGAGTTTGAGCACAGCCTTGAGTTTGGGAGAGGAATGGCATCTGAAGTTAGGTTCAATGAGTTTGATCCGGGGGTCCGTTGTTGGGCGCCGAGATGCACATCTATAAAAATAAATCTGGGCCATTCAGATTAAATCTGGATGGTACAGATTTTTTTAATTTAAATTTAAATTTGTTAAAATAAAAATTTAGAATTTTTTTATAAAAAAATTCATCATCAATTTAAATAGTATTAATTTAATTTAAATAATTTAATTTAATATTATAACTTTTTAAATCGATTATTTATACAATTCATATTTGATATTAAATGTTTATTTGTAAGATTTAAATTTAAAATTTTTATTTTTTATTTTGATGAATATAATATTAAAAAATAAAATATATAATATTTTAATCATAAATTTTAAAAAATATTTTTTAAAAACATTATAAATTAAAAATTTTAAATTTAAACTATATAAAATATATTTAAATAGTTAATATATAAAAATATAAAAATTTTAATATTAAATTAAATACTTTAAGTTAAATATAAATTAAAGGAATTTAAAAAATATTTATTAAAATTTTTTTATGAGTTTTTATAATTTTTTATTTTAAAAATATAAAATAAAAATATTAAATTATTTTTTTAAATTTAAACCGTCTAGATTAAAAATCAGGGTGATGATCACCCAAGAGGTTCCTTTTATCTAGTTTAAGGGACGAGCTATGTGGGAAGGCCAATCTGCTCCTTTGCTTACTTAGAAGATGATTTGCTATAAGAGTGACTCTCGGCCCCAGACGTGATCGACGACCTGAGCTTGAAACCTGATCAGTTTCAACGTTTCCCGGCATGTGAAACGCCCAGATTCATTAGATTAGATGTGTCTTCGATCTTTGCTATTCTTTAGAAGAATCGAAGCGTGTCGACGAGTAACCGTGAATAACTGAGATTTATCTATTGCTCTGCCTCTTCGATTTCTGATATCTGAAATATGTTTTAACACCGTCGTTGGTTTTTTGGGTTCGATTGATCACGATTCCTGGTTTCGGTCGACGTCGATGTTTTTTGATTTTTGATTTTTGATGCAATTGATTTCTGGGTTCTTTTTTGGATCCAAATCTGGTTTGCATTTGTGTTGATTGTTGATCATGATTTGTCTTAGATGAGATTTTTGGTTTTTAGATTTCGGGTCTTAGATGAGATTATGATTACGTTGGGCAGCGAAGATGGCTGAGAGCGAGAGAAATGCTTCGATTTTGTTTCAATTGTTCAGTCTTCTTCACGATAAGCTGAAGTTTTTATGTTTTTTTATTTCTGATCCTCAATTCTTTCTGGATATTATTGTGAACGAGGGAGATGGGGGGGGGGGGAGAGGTGCGTATGGAGAAGACTGAATCTGGGTTTGAGACTGTTCTTGTCTTGTTCTTAATTAAATGGGTTCGATTGTTTTGTTTATACATTTTCGGGAACTGGATCGATTGAGGAAGGAACTAGACTGATCGAGGAAGAGTAGGTGGGAGAAGAGGTTGAGGGTTCGTGAATGGAATCTCGGTCTGGAGGAGGAGCAAGAAGGGAGAACAACAGGATGACAAATGTGATATCGGTTTTGAGAGAATTGAAAGGGCAGAGTACAAAAGGGCATCACTCGCGGATGCTAGCATGGGAAGCCAACAATGTAGTCAACAGTAAAAGTTTTTAACGTAATAACAGTCAACGTGATCAAACAATTAGATCATTGTATCATTTAAAAAATGTGTGGGCTTTGCCTTCAGTATCGAAGATATTATCGTTGGCCCATACTTTCAATCTAAAATTAATTTTTTGATTCAAAAAGGCAATAGAATTAAAACTAAATGGTTCCACCTAAGGCGTGAAGGATGGGTTAGATTAGATATAGATAATTCTGTCAACATTTATGGTACATCTTCTCATGACGGGCTCATTTGAGACAATGCAAATGAATTAAAAGCTTTTTCAAATATCTTGAATATCATTCAAGTACGGTGGTTAAACTTATGGACATCTTGAAAGGATTTAACAATACCTATTAGGTTAAAAAGTTTAACAAAGTTAATGTCTACTCTAATTCTATTGAGGTTATATCATTAATTTGCAGTGAATTTTCTACTAATCACTTACTTTTTTTTTACTATCAATGATATTAGAGATCTCATTTTGCGAGACTAGACTGTTACCTTTGATCATGCTTTTAAAGAAGCGAACAAATGCACAGATTGGTAGACCCATCAAACCTCTATTAATAATTTTGATGTACTTATTTTGGATTCAGTGCCCTTTGGTTGCAGGAATTTTTTATATGATGATATGACTATTATTGTCAGATAGCACGGTTTACTTGTGGCCTCTCACTCAAAAAAAAATGTGTGGGCAAAATTGAATTAAAAAAACTTAAAATAATGAGTTGCACTTATGTGAAAATTGTGAGAGTAAATTTTTACTTCAATCTTTTCAATAATAGAAACTGTTATGGTAAGTCAAAGTAGGAAATAGTAAAGAATTGCAATCTACTACTAGTACTATGGTACGAATAGTTATTGTCATTGTTGCTTAAAGCATTCAGATTGCAATTATATTTGACTCTAAATAAAAATAAAATAAGAAATAATCTAATGTTATGTATGGATATATATGAATTTGAATTTGAGCCAGATTCATTGTTTAGATAATTAAAATTGTATGGATTTCGATTTGACTTGATTCTAAATTTAAGCCCTACCTTAATTTCTTTATAATTTGAAATCTTATCTAAACCTCCAATTTTTCAAATCCTAACTTAATCTCTTTTATAATTTGGCCCAAATTTATGAAAGCTTGATTGGCCCGCCAACAGTAACTGGACCAGACAGACAACTTCCATCAGGACGATCAACTTTTACCAAGACCGGACCATGTAACATCCCAGTTTTAATCCCCTAATTTATTAAACCTAATTAGGATATTTAAGTAAGTTGATGTGGTGTGTGGCCAGGAAGGTCTAATAGTCATATTTGATTGTATTTCAGCTCTAATTGTGGGTTCGGTATTAAGGCGAGCTACTCGGGCATTAGAAGGAGAAGAAAAATGAAGAGTGATGTTGCTGTGCCACACGCTGCGGCGTGTAGATCATCTACCACAATGCACAAACACTTCTGATGCGAGGGAGGACCTCTCTGTGAAATGCGTCCCGGTGCATAACCATTTTCTACAGATATCAGTCGTGAAAAATGAGATGGAAATATAAAGAAAGAAAAGAGAAAATGGAAGAGGCGTGCCAAGCTCTACTAGGGTTTGCTAATAGATGATATTGAGAGTATTTTGAACGTTACAAATACCCAAATAAGTACCACACTCCTTAATCTCTCCACCTCTTCCACATTTATGAGTTTATGATCAAGATTTGATAGTGAAAGTAGAATTTCAATCTATATGAGTTATAGGTCCAAATTTATCGATTCAAATGGAATTAATGAGAGTAGATTAGAGTATCTAAACCTAGGTATAATGAGTTTTAGTGACTTGGATTGTTGGGCACCATTAATATTTGAAAATCTTATTTATTATGGATGGTTGGAAAATTATGATGCCATTAATGAAAATTTAATGGTTCATTAATATTAGGACTAAAGGTAATAATTAAACCCAAGGGATAGGCTCAAATTCTTATCGAGTGAATGTTGGGTAATTTAAAAGTGGTGAAAATTGAGGGTTTAATGCTCGAGATAGTAATGTTGATAAAATTCAACTTGGTTGATTGTAGTATTTGGCTCTTAGTCACCTATTAAATTAGAAATTCAAACTTGAAAGCTAATAGATTGAGAGATAAACCTTTGACCTCTCAAAGGTTTAAGATAATTGGGAGAAACTCTACTTTGAATAGTTATATATTAATTGATTGTAAATTAATTTCTATTATGAGTGTGGGATGCATGGGTTGATTTTCAATATGAAAAGCATGTACTGGTTTTGATGAGTATATGAAAAATTGAATATGCATAAAGTTATTATGACTTGAAATGCAAATGTCTGATTAAGATGTTTCAAATATGAACATGCATGTGTCTTTAGAAAGATGAATTTGATGATGTGTTATAAATGAACAATTATGATTGAAAAATAGGTGTACATGTTATAAGCGAAAGACAAGAAATTGATGTGCACTTGGGTAGCGCATGGTCGTGAGTCCAATGTGATTGTTGTGATAATGAGTAAATGAAAATGAAAATATAAAATGAGTGAGTATTGATTATGGCATGATTAATGGCAGGAGTTCACTTAGGGATTGGGAGTAGAGAAAAATTCATATAATATTTAGGCTGTCCTCCAATGCATAGGGGTATAGCCTTATCCCACAGTTTATCGAGGAACTGTCCCATAGTTTGTCGAGGGATTAGAACCTAGCTATCTCTACCAGTTCAATGAGGAGAATAGCCTAGAGTATGAGACACTTTAGATACTTGAGAATGGGGGAAGCCATAGTCCAAGAGTGAGCCATGTAATTTTTGGCCAGGTCACACCTCACTGTTAGTGAGCTTAGGTAGTCCAGTCATACGGATGGAGCCTAATCAGTGTTATAGCCCATGATTTTGATATGAGGAAATAAGAAAGATATAAGATTAGTTGATCACTGTCTATCTAAATGTATAACATGTCACACATGTTAAGTTGTGATAAGTCGTGTGAATAATGGGTTAAGGTCACATATCTGAGAATATGGTGACAATGCACCTAGTATATGTGAGTTAAAGAAGTTATTAAAGGATAAATGATAAATTATGACATGTGTGAGCATGTTTTACATACTTGGTTCCTTATGCATGTACTTGATTTATGATTCATATATAATTGTATAGGGTAGGTTAAACCTTAGTTATTAAGTGGCTAAAATCATCCCTTTCATTTAACACTTTTTAAGCTCTAGCTCTGGTGTTGAGAGGGAGAAGGCTAAAGAGGCTAGGAATTAACATATTCCTTTTTGTATGCCTCTAGCGTAGTTTATTTTACATAATAGTATATGTTTGCTAATTCTAGGATGCATGCCATCACACTTGCACTATTTTGTTGTTGGGAATGTTAAATTTATATTTTGGGCCCTGAATCTTTGTGTATGTTAATATATATTTGTTAATAGGGTCAAAATACTAGTACAAGTGTAGAAATAAACCTCTAAGCATGTTTTGATTGTTTTAGGTGTAAAGTAATGCTAATTTACCTTCCCCTCTGTTTTTGGCAAAAAAGGGGTTGAGAAGTGAATTTCTCTTATCCTGTGGTTTTAATGTGTATGATGTATTGTACTAGTAGTCCTAAGTCTAATGGACTTGGTCCAGGTGTTAAGAAAGGTATTTAGCACATATTGAAGATTTTGGACACCCATTTTGTGTGAAAGTTGTGAAAAATGGTTAAAATGTGTTTGGGTGTTAAACTTTCCAGTGTGACTTGTTTTAAAAGTGAAACCCATGCCACTAGCTAATTTATGTAAAGACTTTTCGTAGACACTTAAATCACGTCATTTAGATGTTGGACAGAGAATCAGGGCGCGTCGAAAGTTTGCCAATTCTGCTGTCAAATGACAGTAGAATCAATTGAATTTTTATGCAACATGCTGCGTCGCATGGCGCCTAAGCCATTGCACGTGACAGAGAGAGCAACATGCCTCTGCGCAACATGCATGAGTTGTGGCGCATGGCCCTGTAACATAGCACAAGTTTTGTTTTTCGACCATTTTCGACTCTTTTCACTCCTCTAAGGTATCTTATGCTTCCGAAATTTATTTTACTTTGATATGAAGGATTTAGATTAATTTAAACTCATTATTATTTAAAAAACTTAGAATCTCTTGCTTTTGAATTAAACCTTGGTAATCACTTTTTAGATTATTCCTTTGATTACCATGAGTTTTATTGGTTAATTGTATTTAATGGAGTGAGAATATTACAAACCGACGGTGGAAGTTGATGGCCTACTTACATTGGGAGGGACAGTTAACTTCCACCAAAATCAAACCGATGGGGACGACAGGCACAACGTGACTGACTTTCACCAGGATCAGACTGACGGCAATGACTGGGACCGAATGGCCAACTTCTATCAAGACAAATCGACGACAACAAATGGGATAGGATGACCAACTTTCACCGACACTGGATCAACAATGATGATTGGGACCGGGTAGCCTTTGTTGACTAGGATCGAACGACCCCTTGTGACCAGGATTTGACAGCCGGTACTGACCTTGATCGAATAATCAAAAATCTTATCTCAAATGAAGTTGCCACTCCGATGCTGATCAAAGTCGTTAACCTAGTCATAGTTAGAGCAGGTTATTTAATCTTGGTTGCAAGAACAATCTTGATCAACAACGGTGATCCAATCTCGATGGAGGTTAGCCTTTCGATCTCGATCATCACCGTTGGTCCAGTCTCGATAGAAGTCAATCGGGTCTTGGTGGAAGTAGTTTGTCTAGTCCCTGTTGTTATCGTCGGTCTGATCCTTATAGAAGCCAACCATGCAGTCTCCATCATCGCTACCTTTCCAATCATGGTAAAAGTCGACCATTCAATCCCCATTGTTATTGTTGGTTCAATCCCGGTGAAAGTTGGCCATTTGAACCATCTACTTTAACTAGGAATAGACTGCTGACATCATCAAAGTTTCTTTTAAATTTAAATGTGGTATTTAAAATTTAAAATTTTACTTTAGATCCAAACAAAAAATTTTAATATTATAATTTAAAATTTTTATATCATCCAAACAAATGATTTAAAATTTATGAATTTTAAATATAAAATTTTAAATTTAAATTCTCAACTTAAATCTACTAATTTAAACGCAGCCTAAATTTTTTCTTGGGTAGCGGCCATAAATAATCATTGTCTATACATCTACAAAATTGAATTGAAGTCATTTGACATTTAAATAGCAATCTACAAAAAAGATGCTGATTAACTTGGAATATGATACTATCTCACAAATTGTGGTGAATAGCAACGTAAAGAATAAAAAGAATTGTACCAAGAAAAACAAGTACTTTAAAAATCATTGTATATCGTACACAATTTACAAATTGAATAATATTCAACCTCCAACATTTATTTTTCCTCTTGAGCTTATCCAGAGCAAGTCATACTAGTGGAAATTGGCAATTGCATCTGCGAAGCACTCAGTTCTGTGCTCCATAGTCGTTCAGCGCCTTCTACAACGTTTAAATGGCTCAAAAAAGTTAAAATAAAAATGAAAGTTTCAATGGTCAGTTCAAGAATATAAGGATCATATTCCAGCAGTTACTATTGACAGGAATGGGGGATATTCATATTGGCGTATTTGGTGCAATCATATGGTCCGATTGCTTGATTTTTACGTCTTACCTGCAAACCAAAGCAGAACATGGAAAATTAATCAAGGGGCATGCCACATTAAAAAGTAATCTTGTTTATGTTAAGATGTTCAACAAGGAATAAATTACAAAAAAAATTAATAATAATTTAAACAAGATTAGACTTAGAGAGCTTGTGATGTCCGGAGTCCAAACTACAAAATAAAAGAGAATAAAAAGGGGTGATCTAAAAGCTTTATATGACCTGAAAAACATTAAAATAGCAAAAGGATCCTACCGGGGACCATGGACCTGGTTCATGCTGAGGCTTGTCAGTGGGAGAATTTTGTACAGCGCCACCTTTCATTGTTAAAATTCCCTGCAATATCGAAAAACGGCTTAATCAATGATCAACACAATCGCATGTCCAGTCAATAATTCTGACAAGTCACCTCTCCAGCAGCTTCCATCACAGCCAACCACTCATCAGAAAACGGAGTAGCATTTGGAGGAGGAATCACTGTAGGGACATTCTGCTTCCTTTTGTTTCCGGATTTCTTGCTGCCATTCAAAATACTAAGGATTACTAATCGCAATTTGCGAGGCATCAAGACTATATAAGAAGGACTTTTCCCAAAAATGTAAGATACTCACAGATGAAATATTTCGCCGCTGTCTTCTGCAATCTGACTCCGAACATTGGCATCAGAAATTTCATCTTTCGCAGGGACACTGCTTTCAGCTTCTTCTGACAAACTTTTCCTCTTCAACGAACCGGCTTCGCTGCTCTTTGGAATTTGTCTATAGGATATCAAATTATCTGCAACTTGTGACTTCAAACCTACGCTTAATGAACAACGCTCATTGCATTTCCAATCAACAATCCGACCTTCATACCCTTGTGTAGAACCAACTACATTAGATTCGTTAAATATATGATTAGGGTCAACCTCAACAATTGCAGCAGTAACTTGATCTGCACCGTCCATTTGTGAATGCTTTGTCCTTTCATCCCGGTCAAGACTTCCATCTTTAATCTTAGATGCAGCTTGAATATGATGTTTGGAAATAATATCCTCAGTTGCATTGTTATTGCACTGTTCTAACAAGCCATCGAATAAAATTTCACTCTTGATTTCTTCAGAACAAGCGTTGTTCGCAGGCAACAAATCACCATCCGATTTAGGATATAAAAAATCAACATCTGCTACAAGGCCAGTCCTTTCAAGCTCAGGAGGTGATTCTTTGTTTATGCTTTCAACCACCAGTGGAAACTGATGTTTGCCTAGTGAAGTGCCAGAGTTATTACTGCAGCCGCGTGTCACAGTATTTTCATCAAAGGACGTCACTGATGTATCTTTCACATGTAAATTCTCAATTTGTCTCTTCGCGTCATCTGATTCTGTGGCTGTTTGCGCCAATAGCTTATATTCGTGGGGGCCAGAAGCAGTTTCTGCTTCTTTAAGAAAATCTTTGGTACCTGAATTGATATTTGCAGACGCTTCAATGGAATTGCTTTCATCAAGCAAGAGGCTGTGATTTGCCACTGAACTCTCATTTTCGCATAGCGTGTAATTTGTTTTAGAAAATGTTATCATCCTAGCTTTTTGGTCCATGTCTTCAAGGACATCATGCTGGGAAATTGACAAATCATAATGCAATGAAATACCCCTAGAAGAAATGTCCTTAATAAATTTTGCGTCAATAAGCTGGTGATATTCATTATCAATTGATCTTCTATAGACAGAACCTGACTGAACATCCCTTGTGTGCTTGCAGTCTTCCATTTTTGCTATTTTGGATACAGTTCCACAGGCACCAATAACTTCTAGTAAATGCCTTTTAGGAGACTCTTGAGACGATGAGGCTGTTGCAAGAACCAAGCGACCATTCACATGAGACTCGCATTCACTTCCTGAATTAATTTCTCCTTCAATCCTTGAATTCATAGTCTCAGACTGTTCCTCGTAACCTCCACCCAAACTATGAAAATACTGAAATTGTTGGTTTGCGGCCTCCGGAATAAGTTGACTGGAGTCACTGCAATGAGATGATAGGTTTGCATTTAATAAATGAACTTGCGTATCTACTCCATGTTTATCAAGGTCACCAACACCATCTTTTACCCCTTCAGTGCTTTTACAGGGAATTCGTTTGAGAGATACATCCAATACTGCTTCACTAGAATCTCCAAGACTTGAATTTACCCTTGCAATCTTCATACAACAGTAGTCCTTTAAATCTCCAGAGTGCCTACTATCTTTTGATGAAGAGCCATTTTCTCCTTGTGGCACCAAACCTTCATTAGAGATCTGAGCATCGCACCCGAGAGGCTTCATCTGCACATCTACCTCATGTTCTATTGCATTATGTGTTGACAAGTCATCTCTCCATGTGGAAGTTCCTTGTATACTAGAATAGCACATAGACCGCGGTTCTTTGAATTGATCCTCATCAACCTTAGTCTTCAAATGATCATCCATATCACTCCCTAAAAGAAGATTCTTATCATTGGTGTGGAATTCCGTGTTCTCCATGAATAGAACGTTCTCATTCTTACAAGGTTTGTTGTTCACATGCTCAGGAATTCTTTCAACCTTTCCTTGCTCTGTTATTTCTTCAGAACCTAAGAAATAACATTGCACATCTGTTCTATGATTATTTTCTACCTGCAGGCTTGGTCCCGACGTCACATCCATAATGCCTGACTTTGGAGTGCAGTTCTTTCTTTCACCCTTGACCATTTCAGTGCTTTTGTCCGTAGGACGCAAACCCCTTGCTTCATTAACACAATCTGTCTCAACTTTCTTTAATTTAGGGATGTTACTCTCATCAGGTTTGCAAGGTTTAGAGCTTTTATGGAATATGCTGTGTGAACTAGAGGCTTTTTGCTGCAAGAAAGTTACAGAAATGAGCAAGAGATCGCGCAAGAGTGCCATTCTACTGATGCATGAATATGAATACGCAAAATGGAACCAAGTAGAAGAATCATACCTGAGAGAAGAATCCCAGGGAGGGAGATGGCATCCGTAGGCCTGATGGTCTTGCTGTTTGAAATTGTGTTGGTTTCTTTTTGTCTCCGGTATTGCAAACACGTACTGAAGGATGGAGTTCAGAGCCTTTCCTTGCTTCAGATACCGGATGATACTGTAATCTAGGCGGTGGATGTGATTTTGAGACTGAGTCATTCTGCGAAATTAAAAAAAATTCAAAATACGAACATGTGCATACTAGTTATGCAAAAGGATGAATGCCTTAAATTTACAGCCTCTTTGAAGGTTTAAGGTCTCACAATATCTTTTCCAGCCTGTCGTTTGCTAGTCCTACTAACTGAAGATTTGTCAGCATCATCAAACTTTGCATCAGTAGGCACACTTTTTGGGTTTTTTGTCGGACCTTTTACGACAGCATTCTTATGAACATAAGCAGCTGTACAAGAGATACAAATTTAACAGAATATAACGGTCAGTTTGATGTAAAAATTATAATTAACATTAGATAACTGTAAAGAAACATGAAATCCACTGAAACTACAAACCTCTTTCAAAATTAAATTGATCATACAATATAATCACCTTTACACATTAATTACATATATCTTATGCTTAAATTTGTCAAAACTCCAATTCTTAACAATATTTTCAAAGGGGAAAGGGGCAGATTGGGAAATTTACCCGGACGATCGTGTTCATTTCTTTTCGAGCAAACTGTACTCAATGCTCCACTTCTTGCCGTTGTTGCAAGGACAGGAACATGGGTTTTTAAAACTGGTATTTTGGAAACTTTTGATTCTTTTCTTCGTGCTTTCGACGTGTCATGTCTTTTCCGCTTTCAGAGAAGTTAAAGCAAACTCTCCCAGAATTCAATCGTTTACAAATATAAAAATGCAGACAAAAGGAATAGTTGGATACTCCAAATATTTTGGAAAAATCAACAGTAGGATATGAAGATGAAGCAATTGGCCCGGGACAGGCGTCGCGTTTAGACCTGTTTCTATTGATATTATTGACAGCAAGCACCTTCCGCTTCGCCTAAAGAGTATCAGTAAAATAATATAAATATGAACAGGAGGATAAATGAGGGAAATTTAAAAGCTTTAAGAACTACTTCCAACAAAAACTCTATAAACTTTGAAGTGTAGAGACAAACCAAGGATACAGAGGCAGACATATCTTTGGTTAATGCATCGGAAACCGATGATATTGATAAGGAAGCGCCAATCTTCCTCTCTTCTGGCAACGGCTTAAATAAATTTTCCTCAATGTCTTGTGGCACTGATGAAGCGCCAGCGATGTCTTCGTCACCCACTAATGCATTTTCTTCTTCATCGATCATCGTCAACTCATTGTTAGCCGTACTGCGATTGCCGCTAATCATAGACAGCTCCAAAGGGTTCAAAACACCTGAACAAATAGCATGAATTATAACTTGTTTCACTAAGTTTACAATTTATAGGACAGAAAGCCAGGGGAGCAAAAAAAATGCCTTCTTCAGTAAAGAATGCTTGATTCCATGCCAAGCTTTTCCGCAAATTGTATCCACCCCCTTTCTTCTTCCTCTTCATCTGCTGGGGCTCCACATTAAGTTTTGGTGATTCGGACTTATTTCCATTTATGTTTTCTTTGTTTATGCTGTCTTTGGCTGGGCAGCTAAGCTTTTGGAAACCCACTGCACCAACTCTACCCTCTGCGCGTCACATTGATCAGTACATGCTCAGTCCAAGAAACAGGGAAAAAGGATATGAAAGCCGCATGAATCAGACATGACCCACGTTTTACTATTATTGTTCATTAAAATCAGCCAGAAATGTAAAAGTAAGTGGGGTTTATATAGATAACAAGTTTGACGTCAATTCTATCATAAAAAATTCATCAGCAAGTAGAATCTCTGATAATGAGAAATTAAGCTTTAAGAAAAGGAAAATGGGATACTTCCATACATTAGATAATACAGATGAGCTACTGCCGCGAAAAGCCGAAAACGTTCAAATATGGGGGACGAGGAACAAATTGAAGGAGTTAGAAATGAGGAGAATAAAACCTAACCAGTTTGAGAGGCAAGAGCAGGAAGGGATCTGTGACAATGAAGAGGAGAGCAAGAGAAAATGGTGGAGGTGGTGTTAAAACCAGAATCGTCCCCGGGAATCTGTAGCAGAGATTCGTCTTCAACAGCGATCTCCAAGAGTGAGAGATCGGAGTCCATCGTCGACTTATTTTTATGCCAGGATGATCGATCTGGGCAACTGCAATGGCATGTTCGGACTTCAAACTTCAAAGCGTTGATAGTGAGTGGATTGGGCGTCGGTTAGTGTGCGTGCTGTTTGACGTATTTGAAACCATTGATAAGCGGGAATCGAACTCACAAGTCACAACAGCCGAGTTTTGAGTCCGACGGAATTACGAGACTAGACATGTTACTATTTAAGATTGACATTGGAGTCCGGTTTAAGCTGCAAGCAATCGTTGCAGATTGGTCCAACAGCAAAAAGGATCGTTGAAGATGAATGCGTTGGGCCATCCAAAACTTCATGTGGTAGTTTATCGTTGTCCAGTTTATTGGGCCCAGCGTGGATGGAAAACGGATCCATTACTTTTTTCGTTGCACTTTCATTTGGAGAACGAGATATGAGCTTTGACCCCGCAACACCTACACGTGATTATTTTCATTTCAGCCGTAATTGCGTGATCATAAAACCTCAACCCCGCCTCTTTACTAATTCTTACCTTCAGCCTTTAATCGAATGATCTGGAAATAAATTATTCTCTTTCAGGATGAGAAATGATTTTTTATTTTTCAGAATTTTAGTTTGTCTTGATTGACAAATAAATAAAATAAAATTGCATTAAAAATTAATTTTAATTCCTCCTTACCACTAAATTATATATATAATTACTCATTTCTAAACATTCAAAGCGAGATGGACAATTTCATGTACCCATTGTTACTGGGCAAATTCATTGATTATTCTATTTCTAATAATTGTTGTTCTCATTATTTTTCTTAGATGCTTGCCATTTAGTTAGAGGCCCCGCTTCATTTACTAGCAAAGAAGAGGAAAAGGAATTCATTGATTCTTATAGTCCATATTCTATTTGTGTGGTAGATCATTATGATGATTCATTTAATAACTTGTATTGATTTAAATTCTCATCACTATTTAGTGTTATTAAAATTAAATTAAACCAATCAGTTTAATTGATTGAACCAGAAATCAGTCCTAAATCTTTTATGGTAACTACAAAAAATTGTCCATGTTGAGAATCACTAAAAAATTAGTTGAACTAGTCTCAAACTAGTCAAAACTAACATAATTGATGGATTGACTGATTGAATCGATCTTATTTTTTATTTTTTATTTTTAAAAATTTTAAATCATATTTATAAATTAAAATTCATGCATATTTATACCTAGTGAGCATTGATAACTGAAAAATGAAAAAAATAACTAAAAAATATGTATAAATTGTGTATATGTGTATATATTTTAAAGTTATAAATTATAAATTATGAAACAAGTATACATATTTTGGATTAAAATGATGGAATAGTGATGGATATTGCCTTCTAATTTTATATTATTTTTAAAATTTAAAATTCATTTTTATTATATATAATTATTTCTTTTTATTTTAAACAAATATTATTTAAAATATATTAATATATTTATGATCGGTTAAACTACAGTTTAAACCTTAACTCGATCATTAAATCATGAATCAATATCCCATCTAATTCAACGATAGATATGATTTTCTTAACATTGCTCTAGGTTACCTTACCTCAATGTAAACTTCTCTATATTGCTTTTATTAAAGATGGATCAAGTCAGGTTTATGTAATGCTATTCAATTATGGCTCACATCACCCGAAATAGAGTTAGTCAGCTGAGCTCGACTTGAGCGCCAAGCTTGTTGGCCTCAATATAATCAAAGGCCTGGGTTTCGATTTGACTATTTGTGATTATTCTGGCTAATCCAAAGAACTTCAAAGAAGGCTATTTTATCTATTTATTTATTTATTTTATGACGATGTGGGGATAGAGGATGTGAAAGTGGATTATTGAAATAGACCTGAATTTATCCCGGTGAAAGACAAGTGATGCTTGTTGTTTGTCTTTTTTATTTATTCCGCAACTTTATTATTTATTGTTGTTATTTATATTTACGCCTTCAACAAATAAACACGTTTCATAGAATATTAACATGAAAAACACGTGTTTAAGGTTATCACGCTCAATAATTCAAATCTTGGGTAGGAAGTTATACATACAGCACGAACATAAATCCCTCATTGATAAGATTGCCATTTGTTATGCAATGAAGACAATCTCTAATGGTACTCCTCTCCTTTGCAATGGTATTAAAGAAAAGTCAAGAAAGCAATGACAATGATTGAATAATGTTGGCGGATTGCATTCACTAAAATCAGCATTCACATGTAAATAATTTTACATGGCTCTCTCAAGAGTTAGAAATGCTGGGAATTTGAAAATTTTAAATCATATTTTAGACAAAAATAAAATAAACTAAACCAAGTGTTATTAATACTACCAAAGAAAAACATAACTTTAAATTTTTATATTTACTTAAGTTTTGTCATAAATTCTAACACTTTTTTTTATATATATTTTAAGTTTTTATACTTTGACTTTTCAATGTTTTAAATTTCTATAACACCAAGTCATGTCATGTTTTCCATACTATCAATAAAATATCTTCCGTACGATGACAAGAGGATTGAGATATCATTTCCTTGTCATTTTTTAGCTTTGTTGGAAACGCATCATATTTACTCTGCCACACAAAATGTAGAATTATCATTTTCATCTTTAATTTTATAATGTGATTACGAAATTCCCATGTCTCATTCAACTGCCGCCACTGTATTTTACTATAAAGAATGGAATTCTACAATTTCTATAATTCTATAATCATTACAAGAAAATTCCGGGGGAAATGTCTCATCCCAGCCAAAACAGCAGCACATGGTGTAGTGTGTGGCCCCAAACAATCAAAATCAAATTGCTAGTCTGACGAATCCCCAGCCTTTACAAGAGTTAGTGCAAACGTTCCCTTGACTTTTCCATTTTCCTATTCTAAGAAATTGAAGAATAACTAAAGCCCCCACCAAAAAGTAAAAACACTAGACTAAATGACCTGCTACAGATGGCTCCTGTAACTGTTGGCAGCAATTTTATACACAAGCATAGCCACAGGATAATGAGCCACGAGTTTTGTTGCTATGTCAACGTCAGGCAGCATAACATCAAGCGAACCCACCCTCCACAGCCGCCAAGTCCGATTCCTATACATTTTCATGTTATGGTCCTCCTATTTATGTAAACAGTTCTGTACGTGTATTTGAGACGGATACAACCGGATCAATCATCTTCCTCTGCTAACGAGGCAGAGGAAAAGGGTCTGAACTTGTAGCCATCACCATGGTAGAATTTATTTTGAAATTCTACCCAGTGAAGACGCAGGGCATGAAGAAAAGCACTAAGGGTTTCCATCATGAGAAGAATAAAGGCAGTTGCAAAGGCAAAAACGGCTAGTCCCACTAACCGGATAACAAGATTGTCATACCTGTTATAATTGCAATTAGCAAAACAATAATGATTACAAAATATGAGGAAAAATGAAAAAGAAAAATAACGTTTTAATCATACATGAAAATGAAGCAAGCTACAAGCTACATGTAAAGAACCAGCTTGATCGCATGTTTGTGTTATTAAATTCTCAGGATCTTACGATGTTAACGCCACCAAAACCAAACATGCCCAAGCAACAGTAAAACATAAAGCATCATGCAATGTCTCATTCCTCCCTTTGGCCAAATCATCAACTTTCGTTGGTCCTGGATATCTAGAGTAGAGCCTTTCCATGTGATGAAAACAATCCTTTATTTAGCATTGAGTAATTTCCTAGCCCAGAAGTTTGCATTTAGGCAAAAGCTTGGGAGAAAATCCCATTTCACCCAAGTTTGATAATAAATGATTACTTTGTCAAACATCAAATCTATATAGAAGGGTAGCAAATGCCAATCATAGCAAAGGAAACAGAAATACTTCAATAAAGAGCAAGAAAGTAAAAACGAAGCATGCCCAAACTCACCCCCAAGCAAGAAGTAGTACTTTCTCATAAAAAACGGTTGAAAGCTCTGAGTGGGCCAAGCTGCAATGGTGATGAAAGACATCAACCAAGGAGCAAAGATATAGAAAATGATAAGTGATGACAATGAGGGAAAATCATGGCTAAACAAACCTTAATGCCCAAAGTCGAAGATACGATGCAGTATTTGAAACTGCACCTAGAACAAATTCAATAGAGTGGATCATTTGGTGAACGAAGACCTCACCGAAATTGAATTCCTCATGATGTAGCCTGGCAGAATCTGGTTCCTCCTCAAGATCCATCTCAGAGGAAGTAAGAATACCATAAGTGCGTCCTTGGAATCTCTACATATCATATCATGAGCATAAACGTTAGTGGGGACTTGTTGAACTTAAAAATTGCTACTTTGATAGCTGTCAATGAAACACAGAAAACTGAAGCCAGACAAAATCTTTCCATAGCTGATAGGAAGTCACAAGTTTTTTATAATTTAAGCACATTTTAGTTTGAAGAAAGTTGGGAAGATTTGAGGCTCTGCAAACTCAGGGAGCAATCTTGAATCATTAAGAAGAAACTCAAACAGACAAGGATATGTTTCTGCACATTTGTGCACAGATTGACGTTTAAGTAAACAAAATTCTCAACTTTCAAAAAAGACCAATCATACACAAGGCAAGCAAAACCTTTACCTCATGGTGAAGCTTCTTTAGGATAAAGGGTTTTGGAAACAGCATCCAAGGAACTGCGATTAAAGCCAAGAGCAATAACACAATCTGCATATGATGAGCAGTAATTCAGAATGATGAAAAACAAGAAATAGAACAATTCAATAAGAAACACCGGGGGAAATCACCAGAAACATACTTGAAGTGGCCTTTGGCCCCAGAACAACTGATTCTCACCAAGATTATCAGTGGGACTAAGGAACATGTAAATCATTACATGATAGAGGTCTGCCTGAGAACCGGTGCACCACTTAACGACAATGAGAAGAGAAAGATACCCAAACAGACTGTTCAGGAAAATCATCTGTGGCACAAACTGGTACCTAAAAGCAACAATATGGAGAGTAAGCTTATCCTACTGAAGTGATAGCACAGTTAAAGCTGTAGGGGCAGGCAGAAGAGAGACACCTCTTATCCACTGAGCTGCCAAAATAATGCGCATTGAAGTAACTTAAT